AATGGAGTGAGGAGCTTCCTGTGTATTTCCAGTCCCTCTGAGAAGCTGCAGAAAGCAGTATACTTGTGCGGTCAGCGTGGTAGCGTGTGTGTCTGTCGAGCACTTGGATATGGCTGGGGAGCACTCAGATGTGCCGTCAGTACAGAATACACTGGGCTTCAAAGGCTTAGTATGAAAAAAGAATGCAAAATGTCTCCATCATTTGTATATTGATTACATGTTGAAAAGACAGTATTTTGTCTATGCTGGGTTAAACAGGATGTCTTAGTAAAATTAATTTCACCTGTACTTTCCCACGTGGCCGCTGACAATTTCACACGATGTCTGTGGCTGGTATCCAGGGCCGCTGGCATGCCACCCTAGACTAGGAACATGGGCAGGCATCCCATGCTTGGCGCACGCTCCGTTCTGCCCGCAGCAGGGAGGGGTTCAGAGACCCGGGGCCCCCCTCGCAGTTCCTAGGCCGGCCCTGGAGTAGAGGATGGAGCTGGGGGGCAGGTGAGGAGGTGAGTGTGCAGAGCTCCACTGGGAGCCGTTGATGCTTTTCCCAGTGGGAGGACATGTGTGAGGTGTGTTTGGGGAACATTTGTTGGGGGAAGAGGTAGAGCGGGCAAACCATGAATACAGGACAAGAAATCAGGAAGGTAGTTAGGGGACTGTTCCAGCCACTTCAATCCAGTGCAGATAAACCGCCTGGTGGATGAGTGCTTTCTCACGAGGCTGAGCAAGAACACCGGAGTGTCCTCTTCCTTTTGCCGACTGAGTAAGGAAGCCGAACAGTCAACCTGTGGCCCAGTTTCCCCTTCTGCCTCTGCTGATCCAAGGAGGCCAGGATCCCCACCTGGGTCCCTGCTGGGTCCCCGCTGGGCCCTGGCCGAGCATTTTTTCCTCTGCTCCCTGGAAACACATTTCCCATCGGTCACATTCCAGGAGAGGGTGAGGTGGATTTGACAAGTATCAGCCACAAAAGCCGCCTGGACAAAAGAAGTCTTTAAACCTTTGCTGAATACCAGCTTTTTGTGTAAATAATCAGGATGTTGAGAACTTATTTTTTTAACCTCTTTCTGGAAGGAAGGTAACTGTTTTGTGTTTTTTGTGTAAAAGAAAACACCTCCTGTTCCTCAGTCCGTTTCAAAGTACTGCCTGTGGTTTAAAAGCACAGAAATAATGTGTGTGGCCCGAAGCCCTTGCCGGCACAGGGAATGCGTCTAGGGCAGCCTGGCAAAGCGATGGGGATGGTCTGCAGCCGGCCAGGGCCTGGCCGCTTTCAGATGGTGCTGGGACAGGTGCTCCTGTCTGATTAGAGGGCAGGCCGTTTTCTTCTGTTTCAGATTGAAATCCAGGTATCTGTACGACCTGTGGCAGTTCTCATTTGTCCCGCCACAAAACACCGTGAATGCTTGCTGAGGGGTTGGTTGCAAACATTCTTCTTAGAACAACCAGGTGACCTTGTATACGGAGCTCACGTAGATACCCGGCTTCTGAGGAACTGTTGCTGTAACCTGCAGGCCATCGGGTTTCTGATTCACAGACTTTCTTTTTTAAAACGACGACTGATGGTTCTCGTTTTCACAGGTCGAACCTTCCCAACACACCCGTACTTCTCGGCCCAGCTGGGCGCGGGGCAGCTGTCCCTTTACAACATCCTGAAGGCCTACTCGCTTCTGGACCAGGAAGTGGGATACTGCCAAGGCCTCAGCTTTGTGGCCGGCATCCTGCTGCTGCACATGGGCGAGGAAGAGGCGTTTCACATGCTCAAGTTCCTGATGTTTGACCGGGGGCTGCGGAAACAGTACCGACCGGACATGATCATTTTACAGGTAGAACCTTCCGTATGTCTTTGAGGGAGACAAAAGGCCAAAACGTTTATGATTCCTTTCCAGATCTAGTTAAAGAGCTTTTTCTTTAAAAACAAACAAACAAAAAAGAAATCCTTTTATTTTTTAGTTACAGCTTACATTCAGTATTATTTTTTGTTAGTTTCAAGTGTACAGCATTGTGGTTAGACAATTCTATATATGCCTTACAGTGTTCGCCCTGATATTTCCAGTACCCACCTGGCACCATGCCTAGTTATGACAGTGTTATTACTAAGGGGCTTTTCCACCATCAGTTAGCGTTATAATAGCGATCTTTGCTGAGAACGTGCTCTCTGCGAGGCATGACCCCGGCTGTTTTGTAGGCACTGACCTCCTCACTGACCCTCAGGGACACACCATTCATCGGCTCAATTTATAGGTGGGAAAACTAAGGCTGGGGGGGGGCGGTTATAGAATTTGACCAGGTCACACAGCTAGCCCCTCTGTGTCTAGGGCCCTCCCTTTTGTTCTTCATCAAAGCACCTTCAGACGGTCTAACTCCTATTTCCCACTGTGTTTGCTACTTCCTGTGCCAGGGATCCCTTCTCATCCAGGGGTCGGCTCAAATACCACATCCTAGGAGAAGCTCCTCCTGACCACCACGTCCCCCCACGTCCACCCCAGGCGTGTACACTGTATCAGGATATCTTGTCTCATTTCTTTTGCATCACACTCTTGCTGCCTGAAATTACCTGTTTATTTTCTGGATCCATCTTGGAGCTGCATCCGTAGTTCTTAGAACAACAGTGCCTGGGATGAAGTAGACACCCAGGCAGTGTTTGTTGAATGCGTGAGTGATGGGAGGGAGGTCCTATCAAGAGAAAAGCCAACAGCAGTGTTTTAAGTGCCGAGTGCTGATTCTGCACCTTCAGAAGTGGGAAAACCGGGTCCGACTTGGGGAATATTCCTGAATGTTGGATCATGTGTTTATGTGACCATTTATCAGAAAGATGCTGTGATTTCAAAGCCTCAGAAAGTATTCTTAGAAAGGTTACGTTAGCACCAAATTGTGTGGGTAAACGTCCAATTCACCTCCCCCTGACTATGAGCCACATGGACAGAAATCTCATAAAAGGAGGCCATTCCACTCGCTAAAAGCTTTTGACACACATCACACTCTCCACGCATCCTGTCAGGTCCCTCCTGCATTCTTCCCTGTGGCTTTAATCCAGACATCCCTGCCATATCAGAGCAGAATGTGCAAGTTTTATATCGTTCAATACGGTAACACACAGCTCTCTTTTGGGGGCTTGTGACCTTGGTGATTCGATTCTTTTACATAAAAACAACAACAAGAGGCCACAGATGGTACTTCAGAGGCCTGTGTTGTCTGTCCCTGGAAGCAGTTCTGTTCAGTTTGGACAGGGCACATCCAACCCCCAGCACCTCAGCAGGGAGCTGACCCGCTCTGGCTATCGTTTCTCTGGGTTGGGGCGGCGGGGCTGCTGGGCTCTGGGCTGAGCCCGGGGCTCCTCCCACGGGCTCCCTGCCAGACCTGCCACCTTCCACACAGGGAACCCTCTGCTTCAGCGTTGGGGGACCCGGAGGGAACTTACTAACTGAGCGGGTACAGCAGAACCTTCCACAGAAGCACCACCTGTGTTGGCTTCACTCTCGGCACGTTATTTCCGATTCCCTGGGTTTAAGTTTTGCTAGGAATTGTATTTGTAAGAGAATTTATGAAGTGTTTTCCACAGACGGAAGTTTAGGTTCTCTCAGCCAAGGACACGAGGGGACGGTAAAAAGAAAGGAAGTGGTAGGAGACCCAGTGTTAGTGTTCTGGGCCTGCACCCGTCAGGGCCTCGCATGCAGTGAGCACCCAGGAAGCTCTGGTTGGATAAACGAGAAGCTGAGATCAGTGACCCAAAGAATGGATTATGCATCTGTGCATGACCCATGGTCACAGACAATAGTGCAGTGAAGGCCTGGGCTTGTGTGGGGTAGAGCGGGTCAATGGGAGGGGGCACATCTGTAATACTTTCAACCATAAAGATACATTTTTTTAAAAAGGACATCCTGAGCCAAATAGAATGTTTCAGGTGCTAGGAAGTCTTCTCTGTCCTGTGAGTGGGGGAAGTCACTGTGCACGCGTAGCGGGCCGAGAGCACTGACCCTGTGTCCCTGCAGATCCAGATGTACCAGCTCTCACGGCTCCTCCACGACTACCACAGAGACCTCTACAACCACCTGGAGGAGCACGAGATCGGCCCCAGCCTCTACGCCGCGCCCTGGTTTCTCACCGTGTTCGCCTCCCAGTTCCCCCTGGGATTTGTGGCCAGAGTCTTCGGTAAGTGGGTGCACACGTTGCCAGAACCAGCATTCCCGTGTTCCATGTCACTCCACTGTGAGACTTCTTGTTTTCCTACCTGTGTCTTCTGTGAGAATGGGGTGTTGTTTGACACTAAATTTCAGGGTTGGGTTTTGTGAATTGCAAGACCGTCACTTCTGACAATCATCGGGCTCCCCTACATGCCTTCATCTTGTGGGATGAGACCTGATTCCCTCACCACTGGGCTGACACCTTACAGACTCGGCCAGGGAGCCCCAGCCGATGTGCCAGAAGGCGTTTCCCAGCCTTCCTGACCTGTGATGCTCAATGTTCACCGATTGCCCGTTAGAACTTTTTGACCAGTGCCTTCTGGGCTGCTGTTCTTACTAGATTCTCTTTGCATCTCCCCCTCTCCTTTCTCCTCTTTCCCTGCCCTGAGCTCTTGGTTTTCTCTGCCATCAGGCTTCTGGCGACACCTCCGTGTGGATGACTCACCGTTCCATCCTCACATGTCCCCTGTCTGATCTTCCCAAATGTCTCACCCTCTGTAGCCCCTCTGTAGCCCTAGGCTGTTCCCACCTCAAACCATCTCCCATTTTCTTGATTTATTTTTCAAGAAGATTGTCCCTGTCAAAGTAAAATAGGTATTCACGTGCAAAGTCTCAAAACTGCCTTGTCTGTTATGCATCAATTAAAAAATAAAAAACAAAAACAATTTTAAAACGGCCTTGGGTGGCAGGGAAGGCGCATTCTCGTGGATGCCAGGAGCCCAGTGGAACACTGAGCGCAGCCAGTGCTTGTACCAGGTGCTCTCCCTACTGCAGAATGAAATAATAACTGACAATTCAGGTTCTTTGTATTGTATTTTCTGTGGAGCGGGAGGTTATTAAAAAATTGATGGTCCTGCCCTGACCGGTTTGGCTCAGTGGATAGAGTGTCAGCCTGAGGAATGAAAGGTCCCAGGTTTGATTCCGGTCAAGGGCATGTACCTTGGTTGTGGGCACATCCCCAGTAGGAGGTGTGCAGGAGGCAGTTGATCAATGTTTCTCTCTCATCGATGTTTCTAACTCTCTATCCCTCTCTCTTCCTCTCCGAAAAAATCAATAAAATATATTTTTAAAAAAGGTTTAAAAAATTGATGGTCCCTCCCAACATCAGGTGGTTTTAAAGTGCCATTTATGCCGAACCGGTTTGGCTCAGTGGATAGAGCGTTGGCCTGTGGACTCAAGGGTCCCGGGTTCGATTCCGGTCAAGGACATGTACCCTGGTTGCGGGCACATCCCCAATGGGGGGCGTGCAGGAGGCAGCTGATCGATGTTTCTCTCTCATCGATGTTTCTAACTCTCTATTCCTCTCCCTTCTTCTCTGTAAAAATTCAATAAAATATATATTTAAAGTGCCATTTATGTTCAGTAACTTGATAGCTTAAAGATCTGTAATCTTATCAACTTTTTTTTACATTTGTTTTCAGAATTAGGGAACATCTAAAGGGGATGTAGGGGATGTTCACAAACATTGGGAGAGTACATACTACATTAGGCAGCTTTGGGTAAATAGCTTGTATATCCAAATTCTAGAAATCCTAAAATTTGCTTTTTAATATAAGTGGGTGTTGAGTTATCTTCTTGCCTCTCCTCCCACCCCACCAAAATGTTAGATTTTCAGTATTCACTTCTATCCAGAAGAACTTTTTAAAAATATATATATATATATTATTGATTTTTTACAGAGAGGAAGGGAGAGGGATAGAGAGTTAGAAACATCAATGAGAGAGAAACATCGATCAGCTGCCTCCTGCACACTCCCTACTGGGGATGTGCCCGCAACCAAGGTACATGCCCTTGACCGGAATCGAACCTGGGACCCTTGAGTCCACAGGCCGATGCTCTATCCACTGAGCCAAACCGGTTAGGGCTCCAGAAGAACTTTTAAAGAAGTTCGCATTTGACTTTACTAGAAGATTCTTTGTTTTTAAAATGTTTACTAACCCCTCTTTTGTATAGCTACTTCCCAAGTGCATTTTTATTTTCTGTTCCTAAAAAAATAAGCATTGAAGAAAAGAGATACTCAAAACACTCTTCCTGGTGAAACAAATTGTTAGTGAGAGTTCATGAAGGGTTTATACTATTGTTTAAAAAGAACTAAAAGCCTCAAAAGTGTCTGCTTAGTTTACTAACAAGAGTCACACGAACTATAAGCTCTCCAACCGGAAGCTTCAGTCTTTCTTGCCTAAAATTTTGTGTATTTTACTTTTCTTACTCTGGAAATTCAGGGAGTCTTAACAGGATAATGGAGAGAGGTGGAGATTGAGAAGGCGGTAGGTGGGTGTTGTGAATGGTTTGAAATAGCTCAGACATCAAATTACAGGGTGGGAAGGGGACTGGGCAGGAGGGCCAGCGCTGAGTTATCCCTGCTGCTGGCCACAGGCACCAGAGCTGCTGCCTGCAGACGGTCCTGGGCTCCAGGGCCACAAATCTCTAGGAAAACATCTCCCCTTAGGCTGCATCCATGGGTAGGAGGCACTGACAACAAACAAGCAAACTCCGCTTTGGAAATGAGTATTCGGAACTCTGTGAAGCTCATCCTAATGACTTCACAGATAAAAGCTGAAAAAAACCCCCACCTATTTCTCGCTATGTTCTGTAGTCAGTGGTGGGATTGGAGTTTCTTATACATTTACATAAAGATGATTCCTGGGCCTCACAGACCCCTGCTGTCCTGAGTTCACGTCCTGCTGGCTAGGGGCTCAGGGCGCCTGGAGTTGTAGGCAGGAAGTGAGAGCTCAAGGCACACTGTGTCATGATGTCATTTTGAAAAAACAACAACACTCCTTTTTTTTTTTGCACAATCCATCCCATCTATCAGTCCTAACAACACTACTTTTTTTTTTTTTTTGCACAATCCATCCCATCTATCAGTCCTTAAAAACAAACTGTTTTATTGGAAAAGATAGGTTTTTAAAAACCATTTCTGTACCTAGCATCTGCGACTTGAACCGTGTTTGTTTAAACCCCTGTCATGGTGGATTGCTCAGTTTTAAATCCAAAGCGTGCCATTCATACACTGGAGTCTCTTTTGGTCTGAAGCCCATTTCATTATAGGTCTTTAGGCCTGGATAAGCCCTGAAAACAAATGGATCTTTGTTAGCTCTTCACAATTGTATACGTAAGTAAAGGATTCTCAGCATGCAGTCAGCATGGCTCCTATACTAATTAATAGGTCACCTCGAATTTAAGTGTATGCTGCTTGCAGGGGCAGCTGCAATGATGTATGTTCCTTGACCTTCATCATTAAGGCGCCTGGTAATGACGCTTTTCTGAAAGTCAGTCCTTCCATGTGGGCGTCACATGGTGTAAAATAGCCTCCTCCTGTATTTTCCTGTTCGGGTGTAGAGGGGTCTGCCTTTGGGGGTAAAGGACCAGACGTGCTCCTAATGGAAGAGGAGGCTCCTGAAGGTTTCAATAGGATGTAATTCCAGGTGGATCAGCGAGGAGATGGGATGTAAAAACTAGGGGCTTGGCAAAAAAACAGAAGCCACCTGTAATGTGAGGAAGGCTTCAGAGAGGCTCAAGGACTAAAATAGACAGGTGAGCAAGATTGTACAGCCAGGAAAAATGGCTCTTCGGCAGCATGGCACAGTGCTGATGAAGGGAGTGTTTGCAGAATCTGTTAGGGCTGTCACCACGCTTCGTTCCCCTCCTACCTGTTCCTGGTCGCAGCGGAGGACCGCGGCCTCCCCCAGGAAGTTAGGCAGAGTGATTGCCCTTGACAAAGACAAAGGTGGCTGGAAAAGATGCAGGATGCGTTCGCTCCCTGGCCGTGCGCTTGGCGTTTATCATTCCCCCCCAGGAAAATTGCCCTTTTATGTCACGGGGAGTTTCAAATAGAGTGTCCGTACCCGTTAGCACAGTAACAGGGCTGCCAGAGCATCTTCAAAGGGAAGTAGCTATTCGTGTTGTTCTCAGCAAATAACTTGTCAAGTGCAGGAGTCAGCTGAATTTAAGGTTCCCTTTACTTCCTGCCTGGTAGAGCCCTGAGCCTGTTTCTGGGCGGTGTGAGAAAGGAGAGAAGAAAGGAGTCAGCCCGTGCTGTGAGCTGGGCAGTGCAGGGCTGTGGGGTGATTTCTTTCGCAGTGATTTTCAAATGCGGGAAATTAAATCACTTTCCCAAGGAGATTATTGTGTGTGTGTTTAAAAAAAATTATTTTTTTACTTTTATTGATTTCAAAGAGGAAGGAAAAGGGAGAAAGATAGAAACATCAATGATGAGAGAGAATCATTGATCAGCTGCCTACAACACGCCCCACACTGGGGATTGAGCCACAGCCCAGGCATGTGCCCTGATTGGGAATCGAAACGCCACCTCCTGGTTCATAGGTTTGCTCTCAACCACTGTGCCACGCCAGTCAGGCAGGAATATATGTATTTTTTATTACATTAAATACATACCATTAGATCCAATGAAATAAATATATCCAGTTATATTTTATTGTGTGTTTTTTAACATACTAATGAAGAGAGTTAAAAAAACAAAACACTCAACTCTCTAAAATTCTTTTTGTTTTTTTCATACAGTCCAGTAAAGTCTGAGTTTAGAGTGCACTCTACTAAGTAGACTTGTTATAAGCACAAAGTTCATAATGGAATAAAACTTGGAGGACTCATTGCTAACCTTTAAGAGACTGCTGATATGGATTACGCATTTGTTTATGCTCAAAAGCTCCCCAATAATTATTTAATTGGCTTGGGTACTGTACTTTATCTAATTTTTAAATTGAATTTATTGGGATGACATTGGTTAATAAAGTTATGTAGGTTTCAGGTGTACAGTTCTATAACACATCAACTGTATAGTGTGTGTTCACCACCCCAAATGGTACTGTATCTAGTTTTAAGGTACTTGTCCCTCAGAGACCAACAACAGTGAACTGTCACTATAGGATGTACTTCCAGGTAGTGCAGTCCGTTCCCTGGACCCCTGACTAAAATGCCCTAAATATTCTGACAAATGCCATCAGGTTTTGTTCAGCTATAAATGTTCATATACTGAAAGGAAGGCTTCGTGTCTAAACCACGGAATCTTCAAATTTACTCTTTTTCTTTTGAAATGTCTTTTCTGTTTAAAAATGCATTGTGGTTATGGTGGTATTTTAAGTCTCTATTTTCTGCAGTGGTGCTTACACGGGTAAACACTGTATTTTGGAAAGCAGACATTCCACGGGGAGATTCTTTCACGGCACTGCCTTAGACACGGGTACTTCCCCTAAGACTCGACATTCAGAGATCGGCCTCTGCAGCCAAACCGGAGGGAGGCAGCCGTGGAAACTGCTGGTCCCTGGGGGCTGCCCGGAGTCACAAGCAGTTGTGACGTTTGTGGACTCTGTGGCCCTGAGCCCTGAGAGAGACGGGCCGACCTCAGCACAGCATCGCTTAGGGCCCTGCCCAACCGGCACCAGGTGTGCTCAGGAGGTTAAGGCCTCGTGCAGGTCACAGCGCACCTCCGAGGCTGACGGGCCAGTCGGCACCTCGGTCTGCCCTGTGTGTGATCCACACACCACCCGGACACCTTTCCCTTACACAGGGCGGCATCCAGCCACTTCTGTTTCTTCACGGCTTTTACATGTCATCCCACGGAACCACCCAGAGAGGCGCGGTGCTGGGGCTCTTCCCCATCTGCTCTGTCTTCCTCCACCTGATGGAATTTCCAGCTTCTTGGTCTCTTCCATTGCCCTGTAGCCAGAGGGAGAGACAGATTGGCAGTTGCCTCTAATTAGATTCATGCTCTCATCTTTATATCTTTTCTTATATGTACATTAGAGGCCCGCTGCACCACATTCATGCATTGGGGGGGGGGGTCCCCTGCGCCCCTGCACCCTCTCACAGTCCAGGAGCCCTTGGGGGATGTCTGACTACCAGCTTAAGCCCGCAGTTGGACATCCTTAGCACAGCCGCGGAGGCGGGAGAGGCTCCTGCCACTGCTGCTGCGCTCGCTAGCCGTCTTCTGACTGAGTAGTGCTCCCCCTGTGGGAGCACACTGACCACCAGGGTACAGCTCCTGCATTGAGCGTCTGCCCCATGGTGGTCAGTGCGCATCATAGCGACTGGTCATTCACTGTTTGGTCGATTTGCATATTACCCTTTTATTATATAGGACTAGTGACCCAGCGCATGCAATCGCACGAGACCCGGGACCCCGCCTGCGCTGCGGGCCTGCCCCAAGTCCTGCCCCGCTGGGCCGGATTCCCCCGATTCACCTCCTGGTCAAGTCCCCGCTGGTGCCGGCGTGTGCCTGCCACGCACGCAGCCTCCTGCTGATTGGTTGTTACCCCGTGAGGGTGTGACGACCACAGGCTTTTTATATATATAGATTATTCCAGTTGTCAGGTAGCTTGCCTGAATTTAGTCACCCACAATCAGTTGCTAGGGCTCAGCTTTACTCCATTATTGAGCTAAAATTCAGTATAATTATATTTAATAATGCATTTGTGGAATTGAGCATTTAGAGTCTTTAGAGATCTTTTCATTCAACTCCTTATTTCAAAATAGAGGAAACAGAGGCATTTTTTCACTTACTCTCTCTTAGGCTATATAGTTAGATATCTATATTTGAATGCTATATATCTAATGCTCTATGTCTAAAAACTTTTGTTTTACCCATAAAAACATATGTTTTAGTAACTCCTTTGAAATCTAGAACATTCCTGGAAAAATAGACTGATAAAAAATTTTCCATTTTTCAATTTAACTTTCAAAGTATGCTTGAATTTAATATATCTTTGGAGCAAATAAAAATGTTTATCAAAATCTTAGTAGTATGTTTACCTATATTTCTTTTATTGTTTGCAATATTGCCTTGACAACCCTATCTGAAATGTCAGGCTCTTAAAAAGGAAATAAAACTTGAAGTTTGGGTCATGTTTCCCTCTGCCCTGCTCTGCGATGTGTGGAAAAGGAAACTGAATGGTATTTCATCAGAAACTGGTCTGGTTTAACTTTCTGCATTTCTGTGTTTTCCCAGATATGATCTTTCTTCAGGGATCAGAGGTCATATTTAAAGTGGCTTTAAGTCTGTTGGGGAGCCATAAGCCCTTGATTCTGCAGCATGAAAACCTAGAGACCATAGTCGACTTTATAAAAAACACACTACCCAACCTGGGCTTGGTGCAAATGGAAAAGACCATCAATCAGGTATGATTCAGTCTTAATAAAAAATTGACCTTTCCAAAGGGTCAATCCTGGATATGTAGAAGCTTTATTATTATTATTATTATTATTATTATCATTTAGCAGGACCTATTTCCTCCCACTTTGTACTCTGGGCATCATATTGTGTGATGCCTGGTGTGTAGGAGTCACATCGCAAATATGTGTCCAGTGATTAAATGTGTGTGTGCGTGTGCGTGTGTTGTGAGTCCAATGCTGACATGCCATGTGGCAGCACCATGGCAATGGTTAGGTGTGGCGACCAGCACAAATTATCAGTAGTTTCTTATAATTAAGAGACTTCACCCCTAGTCATGTGTTCTTCTAAAATTCATACATCTATTCAATGTAGGCTGTTGTAAAATAAGTGTTTTCATTTTTCTGCTGAAATATTATTTTATAAAAATAACTTTTCATAGCAAAGTTGTGATAGAGCATATACATTTTATGTAAGTTTATTCCACAATATTTGTGTGTGTGTATGTGTGTGTGTATGCGTGCGCACACGTGCTCCTACTTTAATAGAATTCTCCTCCACACCTGTGGTCACAGCACCTCTGGCTTCTGGGTGCAGTAGAACCATTACTGTCTGGAATGTTAAGGGTGAGGGGTGAATGGAGCCAGGAATTACAACTGGACCAGTTATTCCATGGTCTGGATTAGGGCTGGGAGCAGATTTGGACTCTGCTTAAGGAAGAATCTTCCAATAGTGATTGCTGACTGCGAAGGGCTGGGCTGCTTAGCAGAGGGCGGGGTCACCTGGGAGGAGCCCGAGGTTTGCTGGCTGAGAAGCTCTGAGGAGAGGTCTGTGTGGAGCACTGCGGAGTCAGCCTCAGGCCTCTCTAAGCCTAGAACTTACCTCACCTGCTCCAAATACAATGAAAACATAGAGCAATTCCGAAAAAACAAATAGTGAAATTAAGCTTTTAAAGAATCCTTATTCAGAGGACTTCTGTTAGTCCAAGAGGAGCAGCGCTTCTGGTCTGGTGCCCCCAGACGCGGAGTTGTGATGTCCTGGCTGCCTCTCCTTAGGTGTTGGGCACAGAGAAAGGAGCAAGAAAGCCTGGAGGGGGTGGGGGAGGGGTGCCATGCTAGGCGTCACTTTGCATCTCTGCACGTTTCACAGGCCTGTGTGAGGGAGCAGCTCTCCACTCATTGATAGGCTCCGCCTCTAACTCTGGCTTGTGGAGGCCCTACTTTTACCAGGTTCCGTGTGAGTCTATAAATACACATGATTTCATTTCATCATGACTGCACTCCCGAGAGGAGAGGTGGCTTTAACCCATGAGGAGCCTGGGGCTCAAAGTGGATAATGGACTGGCCCTCAGTCACCAGGCTGCGGAGTGGACCGGGCGGGTCTCACACTCGGATCCTCTGGCCTCACAGGCTCTAGCAGCCACCCAACACCCCCCAGGGCCTCTGGGTGTCATTTCACTACAGAGTTTCTCTGTATTTTACCTGTGTATTAATACCAAAATCTCCACCCTTTGATACTGTAATTCCTGGCATTTGTGTGCATTTATTCCTTCTCAGAGCTTTTGTTGCATATATTTTCGTTCCCCTGGTATTTTATGCTGCTGGGGAAAGGCAGAGAGCCTTGGTCACTGAACCCAACGTCTGGCCCAGTGAGTGCCTTGACTTTGCTCCTGACTCGAAGGCCAGCAGCCTCAGCTGACATTGTTTACCTCCTGGATATTGAGCTCCAGGAAAAATCCCATTTTCCTCCCCTTTTCTGTAAAAGGCACCTATTGAGATTATTGGGTGCCCCTTAAGTGTTCGGAGGACGGACGTGGACACAACACAGGGAGAGAACAGTTTTATGTGTGTCGTTGGTTTTCTTCAGGTGGCTGCTTTGAACTTGGCATTTGTTAGACCACTGACTCCTTGACAGCTTTGGAATGGGGACTATAATCCCTGTTTGAAAGCTGGGGAGACCGGATGTGGAGAGAGTAACACGCCCCCACCCCGTGTAACGTGGCAGAGCCGGAAATATAACGTGTCTCTCGGACACCAAAGCCCAGCCGGTGCAGAAAATAAGCATGTAACCCAGTAATTACAAGTGTGGTGCGAGCTACCTCGGTGCTTGTGCAAGGCTCACGGGAGCCTGTCTGGTGGAGGGCGTGAGCACTCTTGGTTGAGAATTGAAGGCATACAGTTCAGCTGAGCCTCAAAGAATTTGCCGAAGTCGTGGCCGGGTAGCTCAGTTGGTCAGGGCATCACCCTGCTTCACCAAGGTTGTGGGTGCTATCCCCAGCCGGGCACATAGAGGAATCAACCAAGGCATGCATAAAAATGTGGAACAACAAATCTCTCTCCCCCAACCCTCTCAAATCAATAAATAAGTTAAAAAAGAAAAAGAAAAAAGAATGAGCCAAGACGGGTGAGCACACGTCTTCTGTAGAGGGCCAGATAGTGAGGTTGTGGGCTTTGTAGGCCATAAGGTCTCTGCTGCAGCCACTCAGCTCTGCCTTTGCAGAGCGAAAGCAGCCACGGACGGTGTGTATAGGAATGAGGTGACCGTGCTGCAGTGAAACTTTATTTACAGAAACATGCGGTGGGACAGATTCAGTCTGCAGGCTGTCGTTTGCTGACCCCTGGTCACAGCATATGCAAAGGCATGGGAGTGAGAGACTAGAGAGAGATTCCACATGCCTGGCAGTTCAGCGGTGTGCGTGTGTGTGTGTGTGTGTGTGTGTGTGTGAGAGAGAGAGAGAGAGAGAGAGAGAGAGAGAGAGGGAGATGGTTAGGGTCTGAGGAGTCCTGGCCTCCAGAGAGAGAGAGAGAGAGAGAGAGAGAGAGAGAGAGATGGTTGGGGTCTGAGGAGTCCTGGCCTCCAGAGGGGGCTCTAGTCTCAAGTCCTGCTCAGAAACGAGGCCGAGGTGCAGCATGCTTCCTCTGCAGGCTCACAGAACCCCAGGTTTGACCTTGGAGGAATCAGGGTGGAAGGGGTAAGTGCATTAATTGCACACAGTTGTCCTGTACGCATGGGCAGGTCTGGCGTCTCTGTGATCGCCATTGGCTCCGTTTCACTAAATGCCCTCTCCATGGGTGGTCTTGGCTCCAGAGGCTGGGACACAGCCTGTGTACAGGATGAGAGAGAGCAGCGAGGACACTGGTCCAGTCCATGCGGATGGGTTGGGAGCAGCCACAGAGGGGCAGGTCCAGAGCTGAGAGCCCCGGGCAGGAGGACAGAGCCTCTGCAGGCTCTGTGGAGTCCTTGGTGTGACTTAAAAATCCCGACCCAAGAAGAGGGGAAACCCTGGGGGTAAACAGAAACTAAGAGAAGGTCCAGTTTGCATTCCTGTCACAGTGAGTGCATCGGCCTCTGCAACCCCAGTTCAGTGTAAGGAAGGAAAACAGAGTCGGGGTGGGGGTGGGGAGACAGGGAAACAGCCTATTTCCAGCTCCCTTTGGGCTCCATTTAGAGCGTGGCCCCAGCCTGTCAGTGTATCAAGTAGGAACTGTCAGTGTATCAGGTGAGAAATGCAGAATCTGGGGCCTCACCAGAGACCTGCTGAGTCCAAATCTGCATTTTAGCGAGATCCCTGGGGATCAGCACCCTGGGAACCAATGGAGAAGCTCTGCTCCTGGCAACTTCACTGTAAACAGCTGGCAGTTCTCTGTGCGAGCTGAGCATGTGGGGCCGGAACCAGAATCTTAACAAGGCTCCTTTGTTCAGAAGGGCTCCTCGGAGCCCGTGGCCAGGCCCCCTTTCCTGCCTTTGGGAGGAGCCCTCTGCCTGGGCAGTTTGCACTGTTGGAAGTGAGTACTTTTTAAAAAGGCCCATCAGTGCCAGACCTAGAGGGTGTGGTAGGGTGGGAGGGATACTTTATTTTACCACTGGCATTGTTTAGGATTGTGTGCATGTGGTGGTAATAAAAAGCAGACCAACTATTAGTGGGGTTTATTACTGTTTTTAAATGCACGACAGACCCTGCCGCCCCCCTTACTGCCGATACCTGGGCCGACCGCTCCTCTCTCCGCCTTGGGTGCGCCACTGAGACCGACAGAGGCGGGGCAGGTGTGGGGTGGGGACGTGGAAAGTACGGGGCTAGTTGTGCAGACACCAGGTTCACAGCTTCATTATGCAGTGTCCACAGACGGCAGAGAGAAACTCCGTCTCCACTAGCACATGAGCCAAGAACTTAAGACAGTTCTCTAAGGAGGAGGTCCGTGTAATAAACAGCATCTGGGAAAATATTTAGCTTTGTGCATGATTCAAGTGTAAATAACATATAATGCTTTACTGACTAGATTAACCAAACGAAATGTTTCATGCCAATACACAGTGCCAAGGGTGTGTGCACTGAGTCTGGCACATTTGTGTGCTGCTAATGGTGTTGTACACTGATCGTTCCCATGTGGGAAGCAATTTGGCAATATGTCTCGAGAACCAGTAAAATATTCTTCCCCTTTGACTTAGTAATCCTATTTCCTGGAATGTATCCTTAGAAAATAATCCGAAAAATGGGGAAAGCCATATGGACAAGGACGCTTAGAGGTGTCATTTAAAGCAACAGAAACTCTCAAGTAACTGGGCAGCCAACACTGGATGCATGGATCGGCATGGTTGTGATATGTCGAGGTGGTAGAGTACCATGAAGCCATTTATAAAAATGATGGCTATGAAGAATATATAGCAACTTGAACAAGCATTGTCTGAGGAGACCAGGGCTCTTTTTACCACCAACCACGGGCTGCCATGGTTTGGGATAAATTCTGGGCATCACTGCAAAATCTGAGGGCCCTCAGTGTTCGGAGACCCAGGAGATAATGGTGCCATTAAGCAGAGACAATTATGACCTGGGCAGGTTCCTAGGTATTAATGGAGGCCTGAGAGTTTATAGCTTCAGGCACAGTTGAGAGCCATTAACCTCAGCTGACCATCAATCTGTGTAAATGGCCAGACGTTTTGTTCCCAAGTTTTCCAGGTTAGGAGCTCCTTTAAAAATAAATCTTGGTGGAAGAAGAGAGGTAGCTGTGTGTGTGTGACATTTGTTCTGTACCCCATTTATAGTCACACCCCAATGCCACACAGTCTCGGTTTTACTGTTGGCGGTTTGAGCTGTTCACAAGGTCCACGCTGTGGCATCCTTTGTCATTTTGCTGAAGCGCGAGCTTGAATGTGAGGGTTTCACCACAAGTGTGTGGAAGCAGATCCCTTAGCTGAGTGAGCACCTGCCTCTTGTCTTGCCAGCCAGGTGCTGGGAACGTTGTGTCCTGTAACTCCCCCAGAGATGCTGGAGGCCACGAACTGATCCTGGGAGAGGTCAAGAGACCTGCTCAAGGTCATTCGGGGAGTCGCCGGTGGAGCCGGGATCTGAGACTGACTCAAAGCCTCTGAGTCAGTTTCCTTGACTGAAAATAGAGATGATAATCTCTGCTGACCTCGCGGTCACTCTGAGGGATGACTGAGAGTCGGGTCAATACAGTAAACAGCGCACACACATGCCACCAATACAACGTGAGTTAGTTTTTCAGCATAGAAAGACTTTGTGCCTAACTAGTATCCATTGAATTAAATTGAAAACCAGGAAGCTGAGGAATTAGCCTTAAGGGAGACAAAATGAGATTGTTGTGAGCAGTGAGATAGTAAACATGGTTTTTTAAAATTGATTTCAGGGAAGATAGGACTCACCCCTGTGGATGCTGATAGAGGGCCATCAGGGGAAACGAGGCTCTCCATTGATTTTAACTCTGTTGGCCTTTCTTTTTCAGGAAATGTGCTGAAAAGTCCGTTTCTGTTCCTGTAAAGCCCAATCTCATTCTCTAACCGTGTATTCTGATCATGTGGCTTCTTTATGCGGTGACTGAATTCTCAGATTCCCCAGGGTCCGTGTTGGGTGCCCAGAGGCTCAGCCCCATGGTGTTTTCAACGCAGCCAGGAAAGAGAGGAGGTGCCTGAGGCGGCAGCCTCTGCCCTCTGCCCCCCTTTCAGCCCTGCCCCCGCCCCCCTCAAGCTCAGTCCCCAAGAGAAAGTACAGACAGACCACTCACTCACTCGTGCATTCGGGGTTGTTTTTCACACGGGTGGTTTTTTCATCACTGTTACTATTATGGGAAGGAAGGCAGCGCAGGCATTGTTTCATATTCACTCATCTATGTGGGTGACATTTGGGTTTTGGCTCATTGCTGCATGTCTTGTGTGCAAAGCATGGTTTTCAGTAAACAGCTCCATTACTTAGCTGTTCTTGTAACTCTGAAAACCCAGCTGAACTATAATTAAACTTTGACTCGGTGACTGGGCAGATAGGGCTGCGATGCTTTTGTTTTGTTTCCTCCCTTTGACCCATAGTTGATGCATCTAACCTAATAGAGTTTTCAGAGAAGAAGAAAATAAGTATTGGAATCAGAGCTCAAAACAAATGTTGTGTGCCTTTGTGAAAACAAGGTGTCGGCTTTTGGAAAATGAATATCAGGGACCATACTTACTGTTGTCTTAGGCTTAGTTCCAAATGCTTCTTATATCCTTTCCTCCCAAGTAAAATGATTCCTTCTCAGTGCAGAGTTTTCTTAAATTATCATTAATATACCAGGCACAAAGTAGGCGTTTTAGTGGGTCTCGTTGACATGGTCACGTGTGTGTGTGTGTGTATGTGTACTTGTGTGGTTTTTCTCACTTTTGGTGCCTGATGACTTCTCTGCATTTAACAGGTGTTTGAGATGGACATTTCTAAGCAGTTACAAGCGTATGAAGTGGAGTACCACGTGCTTCAAGAAGAACTTATCGATTCCTCTCCTCTCAGCGACAACCAAAGAATGGACAAATTGGAGAAAACCAACAGCAGCTTACGCAAACAGAACCTCGACCTCCTGGAACAACTGCAGGTAGAGCATATTCGGGAGGCAGCTTCCTGAACCCCGGTAGTTCATTAACTCAGCAGGCTGGGCTTTCCCACGACCGCAGGACCCTTCTGCCCAGGTCCGTTTAGAGTTGGGATCAAAGGTATCCCAGGAGTCCTGGGCCTTCCTCTGAGGCAGCAGACAGGTGATCCTTTGCTGAGGTCAGACAGCCTTCTGAGGGGCTGTTTCTGCCGTTAGCAGGAACTTGCGATCCAGACTCTGCAGAGCTCTTAGCTGAATGCAGGCAGTTGTGCTTTGAATAATGACAAGAGAAGCAAAGGCTTGAGCTTCTATGAGCAAAATCAGCCAGGTCCACAGAGGGATGGTAGAGGAGGAAGGCGACACTGACATCTACCTTGCAAAATAAACCAGGCTCAGTGGTTGAGCATCGCCCATGCAGCAAAAGGTCACTGGTTCGATTCCCAGTCAGGGCACATGCCCGGGTCGCAGGCTCAATCCCCAGTAGGGAGCACACATCAATGTTTCTTTCTCATTGATGTTTCTCTCTCCCTTCTCCTTCTCCTGCTCTCTCTACAAATCAATAAAAACATATTAAAAAATAACATCAATGTTTCTTTCTCATTGTTGTTTCTATCTCTCCCTTCTCCTTCTCCGGCTCTCTCTACAAATCAATAAAAACATATTAAAAAATAAAATTAAAAAAGTAAACCAGGGCATAGGATCGTGATACATGTGTCCTTGGTGCAAATACCAAGCCTTGATTGATGAAGGACACAGTTCTCCACTCTGGAAGCTTCCATTTTACCATGGATGCGTGTGGACAAGGACACTAGAAAGGCAAACACTGGTTGTGTGCACAGAGGGTGACAGGAAGCAAGGGCAGAGGGCAGCCCGGAGCCCTGGTCTCCCCACGTCTCCCACCCACGCTTTCCCCAGGGCAGACCGCTGGCCAGCTCTCTCCCGACTCCCTTGTTTGTGTGACAAGGACAGGAAGAAAACCTAATGGCTTAGCACACACACAGCTCCTTTTCCAATCTGATGGAATAAAGGAACCACATGGTCTACTTTTTTAACATCAGAAATGGGTGGTAATGCTGTCAGCATTAAGGAATTGTTTGTGGAGTGTTTACAAAAAATTTTTTTGAGTTTCCGCAGGAAAAAATACATTTTCCTCCCCACCCCACCCCCAAGTGTGTGTTTTATGCGCTCTTGGGCTGACCTGAGAATTAGCTTTCCTTCCCGATCTGAGCCTCTATTTCTCTCCATAGGAAGTTGCCGCTTTGCAGACACAGGCTCAGCAGTGATATGAGAAAGGCCAGCATCTGAGAGCCTAATAAATCAGCCGAGTCTGAAGTGCATTTCCCTCCGCAGGGATCTGTCCTCGTACCCAAGGAGATATTTACTCTAGAGCAGTGGTTCTCAACCTTCCTAATGCCGCGACCCTCTAATACAGTTCCTCATGTTGTGGTGACCCCCAACCATAAAATTATTTTCGTTGCTACTTCATAACTGTAATTTTGCTACTGTTATGAATCGTCATGTAAATATCTGATATGCAGGATGTATTTTCATTGTTACAACTTGAACATAATTAAAGCATAGTGATGAATCACAAAAACAATATGTAATTATATATGTGTTTTCCGATGGTCTTAGGCGACCCCTGTGAAAGGGTCGTTCGACCCCCAAAGGGGTCGCGACCCACAGGTTGAGAACCGCTGCTCTAGAGGAACAAAGAAAAATGCGTTCCCCGCCCAGTCCTCACTGCCTGTCATATTCGGAAACGTGGCTGCTTTTCTCCCCGTGACTGAGATGTCCTAACTCAAAGTGTGTCTGTGTGCAGTCTCTCCAGGACGCCGCGGACGTCCCGTGTGGGGAAGGTTCAAGGGGATACAGAGCCTTATCTGGCCTGTAAGGGTCTGCAGTGTAGGCGGTCATTTCAAACGCCTTCCGAACAAACACTGGGTCCTTGACATATACCAGGCGGAAGCATTTCTCGCAGAGCTCAGACTCGCGTCTGCAGCACGTGGCTTGTTAAGAGAGGCAGGAGGCTCATTTTACTGGTCCGGGTGGGTTTTGTGCGTGTGTGAGATGGAGGGTGGAGAGTGAGTTTGTGTTGCTTCTGTGATGCTGTTCCTTTTCTTGAGGAGAGGGTGTTGTGAAAAGCTGCTCCAAAATCCGCATTCTTCAGGAAAGGCGCCTGGCAGTAATGGTGACAACAGGTGTTCTCCTCGCAATGCTTTCTCTTGACCAAGCGGCTCTGTGTTTCTGGAGGGGTCACTCGGGACCGCAGCTTATGCCAGCCCACCACACTGACTGAGTCCTGCTGTGGGGGCGCCATAAGATACAGTTGCTCTCAAAGAGTTGGGGTACGGACTGTGTTGTTGGTTTGTAGGTGCTTGTATGTCCTGTTCCCATGACCCTCGAGGAGTCACAGGGGGTTCCTGTCCTTCAGCTGGACTGTAAGTTCTGTGAGACGCTCACCTCCATCTTTTTTTTTTTTTAAGCAGTTTTCAGAGTCCAAGGGTAGGCATTCAATACAATGGTTAATTTTTCAACATAAATCTTTTTTCTTACTTTTTATTTTTGCCAAAGTATCAAAATTGACCCATTTTCTAGCTTTGTTCTGCCTATATAGTTATTAGACATCCCAAAGCCCCACTTATTCTCTTAAAAAAGTTGTCTAGCAGTGGGATACCAAACCGTTACCCTGTTTTGTCCAGCAGCATCCATGAGGCAATCTCATAGACATGTCAGGTGGTGCCAAATAAGAATGGACGGACGTTTTTCATAGTAATCAACCGCAAGTCCTTGGGCGCCAGGAGCCAGGCGCAGTGGGGGGCAGCCTCCTGTGCAGGAGGAGACCTGCTCTCTCAGGGGAGAGCTTCAGTCTCACCGGGGAGCCCTGACGCTCGAGTGGCAGTCAGTGGCCCTGCAGAAAGCTCCCCGCTGAGCTGTGGGTGCCCCTGGTGTGTCGTGGGGCTTCTGAACAAGCGATCCTTCCTGGACACGTGGTGGGGCCTGACCCAGGCCTGGGCCGAGGGCCGGACTGTGCGGATAAGAGTCCTGCTGGGAGGAACGCACCAGGCATGAGCACCCCGGCCTGGTGGGCCAGCAAACTTAGGATCCCAGTCCTGTTCCTTCTATTTTGAGTGTCCCAGTAGCACAGCCAAAGCTAGACTTGGAGTCATGAGTTGTCTGTCCAGCACAAGTGTTATCGTGTTCAAAACACAGTTTCTCCTGTTTGAAAATGAGAAAAAAAAAATAGTACCATCCCCCCACCCCCCGAAATAGATGGGAACCTGTGGCCCCTGGACTGGATTAACCACCCGGTGACCAGAGCACAGCTGGGAGCCGAGGCCCAGGCCAGAGAGGCCGCGGGACGGCAGGGGGGTCGGTGGTTTTCTTAGGAAGCCCTCAGCTTTGCTAGAGCCAGCTCACTGGCTGCCTGGAAGCCTGCCTGATCGCATACAAGAGAGAAGCACCTGGAAGTGCAAACTGACTTTAATGTTGTGCCAGCCACTGAGGACGTGGGCCAGGTGGACATGAGGAGACTGCTTAGCTCACAGAGTGGTGACAGGTCCGAGAGACCCTGCACGGGAGCCTCTTAGCAGAACGCGTGGCTATTCACAGCGCCCCACACATTCTATTTTGAGTGTCCCAGTAGCACAGCCAAAGCTAGACTTGGAGTCATGAGTTGTCTGTCCAGCACAAGTGTTATCGTGTTCAAAATACAGTTTCTCCTGTTTGAAAATGAGAAAAAAAAATAGTACCATCCCCCCACCCCCCCAAAATAGATGGGAACCTGTGGCCCCTGGGCTGGATTAACCACCCGGTGACCAGAGCACAGCTGGGGGCTGAGGCCGAGGCCAGAGAGGCCGCGGGACAGCAGGGGGGTCGGTGGTTTTCTCAGGAAACCCTCAGCTTCGCTAGAGCCAGCTCACTGGCTGCCTGGAAGCCTGCCTGATCGCATACAAGAGAGAAGCACCTGGAAGTGCAAACTGACTTTAATGTTGTGCCAGCCACTGAGGACGTGGGCCAGGTGGACATGAGGAGACTGCTTAGCTCACAGAGTGGTGACAGGTCCGAGAGACCCTGCACGGGAGCCTCTTAGCAGAACGCGTGGCTATTCACAGCGCCCCACACATGTTCCAGGGTGAATGCTCAGGTTCCCTGACATAGTGATATCTTGTCACTCTACGGAAAATAGAAAGAATTTCAGATTAGTGAGCTATTGCTGCTTGGGCCTTTACGTGGAATCCCTTTTGACTGTCAGTTTGAAATCAGTTTGTACTTGTAAATAGATGATGTCGTCTAAATAGGCCAGGATGTGCTGCAGTAATAAGTAAAGCTCCAAATCTCAGTGGCGGAGCACAGAGGTCTTTGTCCCCGAAGCGCCACCTCTTCTCCAGGAAGATGCTGTGGCCATATCTGAGCTGCCATCCCTGTAGTGTGTGGCTTGGAGCTCGGAGCTCGGGCTCCTCTGCATTGTGAAGCCACCGCCTCAATGTACAGCTCCCAAAGCAGCCACAGCAGGGGAGGAGCTCTGGCGGCCCAGACTATCTGCAAGGGAGCCTGGGAGATGTAGTCTTCCTGTGTGGCCAGAAGAACTGATAGTACCCAGCGGACTCCTCTGTGCCAAAATGTGGCTCCACAGCTCCCCAAAGGCCGGACAGGGGAGTGTACTGTGGAGCCCCCTATGTTGTCACTGGGCAATGACAGTCTCATGTTTCCTTTTACTCTCCAGGTGGCAAATGGTAGGATCCAGAGCCTGGAAGCCACCGTGGAGAAGCTCCTGACCAATGAAAGCAAGCTGAAGCAGGCTGCCCTGGCCTTGGAGCTGGAGAGGTCAGCGCTGCTGCGGACGGTGGAGGAGCTCCAGCAGCGGACCGCAGAGCTGAGGGCACCCCAGCCTGACCTCATGCAGCCCTAGCCCGCGGGCGACTGACAGCAACTCGCCAGGGCACGGCCCGAGGAGACATGGGACACCATCCGACACTGTCCAGGCCTTAACCGAGAGAGACAGAAGATGCTGGAGGGAGAGAGCGAGGCGCGGAGCATGCTTCTCAGGGAGGAAACTGGCTCGCCAGCACGCGGAGTCTTCTGAACGGAAACTTGCGGATCAGGGGGGATGAGTGTCCCCGTGTTTTTATTGTTGTTTAGGTTCCAGTGGGTCCTGATGACTGTAATCAGTAGATTTAGACGGCATGGACATGAATAAATGCACTTTTATGTTCTTTTTTCAGTATTACTGTGTTTGTAAAGAGCATTCTTCATACTGTGGAATTGCAAAAGCCCGAGGGCTCGAGATGATTCCTCTGGCAAAGATGGGGGTCCGTGGCTCTCCCACGGAGGGTTGGTGTGACTGCTTCCTCAGCAGCGTCGGCAGGTGGCCCTGGTCCATGCTCGCCTGGAAGGCCAAGATGACCATTAGGAAAGATCAAAAGTGATTCACTTAAATGTGACATCTTGAATTTGATCACTATTCTTGGTATTTAATGAAGTTTCTTTTTAAAAAAATCATATTTTCATACATTTTTTGCTTAGTCCTTATGTATTGATCAAAGTTATTGTAGATGAATGTTTTATGGGAAAATCACCATTTTTAAGACTCTACGAGGGATTGCTTGAATGCGACCTGTAGTTGTAGAGTCTGAGATATTTATTTCTTTGTGGTGTTTCATATTCATTAAAAGTTGAGTTGCATATTTATTTTTGCAGCTGTGTGTCCCTTTGAGCCTCCACTCCTTGGAAATCTGATTCTTTGCAGAGGTAGCAGGGCACAGCAGCATTTTTTAGGGATGCCAGAGACTTGGGGACTTTCAAAAGGAGATCAAAATTGTAAACAAATGTATGGCAGCTGAGAGCAGTTTCCTGGAGGTAGGATGTGTTGTTTTGAATATAATTCCCAACACGGTGACCCTCCCCCTACCTCAGGACGATGAGGTCCTTGTGCCTTCAACACACAGAAAGCTGCTCACGGCTGCCCTGGCTTCACCTCGTCACGGGGCCTGCCGTGTGCAGTCTCAGAATCCACGTGTCCTTACAAGGGGTGGTCAGAGAGGAACTGGGTAGGCACATTTCAATTCCTTGAAAGTAGAATCATTGCTGGTCTTGATCATCCTAGCCCAGAGATTGTCAGCCCTTGTCATCTCATGGCACACACAAGCTACTTACTAAAGTTATGCAGCACACCAAAAAAATGTATTTTTTGCTGATCTGACAAAAAATATATATAATTTTGATTCATTCACACCAGACGGCTATTGTTGTGTTGGTTGTTGTCATTTTTCTATTTGACAATCTAAGGGAAAAGAGGTCAGTGTCCCTGACTAAATGGTCAGGTATTGCATGTTTTAGAAATGCCTGCGGCACACCGGGTGAAAATCGCTGTCCTAACCACTTCTTCTGTTCCACAGGAGTTTCTTCTGACTCTTTTAATTAAGCCTGAGGTGAAAGGAAGGATTCTCATATTTGGAGTCATTGTCAGTCTCCCCAGACATTTCAGAGGAAGACAAGCTTGCTGCCTAAACACGTGGGCGATATCTGAGACCTTTCCTATTTCCCATGTGAGGATAGCAGTTCTCTGCATAAACCAAGACGACAAGCCCAGTGGCCTTTATCCCAGGTTGTTCCACCAGATATACTGGGAGTTAACATTGGAGGGCTTCTTTCCACATATTTTACTGTTTGATGTTTAATAATGTTGAAATCTGGACATCTTCTGACCATTACTCAAAAACATTGACTCCACATTAAATAAGAAACAAGAAAGCAATAAAGTAATTTATGTGCACACTTTTATGGTGTTTGGGTTGTCTGGTTTTTTTTTAGAAACTTTGGATTTTTGCTTTTTAGCCCAGGAGTGAAGGAGTGCCTCATGAACACCTGTGGGTCAAAGTGTGAATGTTACCTCACCATCAGTGAAATCATTTGAAGTCTTATGTTTTTAGTATTGCTACCCAAATGCTTGTTAGGTTGTAACACCTCCATGCAGGGTGTAATGGTAGCACTAATTAGACCAGCTCCATCGCTTGTACGTGCCAGCAAGTGCTGCTATGACATCGCTGGGCAGAGGGGACTGTGGACAGGAGCCTGTGGAAGCAGGTCGGACAGAGTCTTGCCTGTGACATAGCCGGGGAAAGAGAAATGCATAGAACCAACTCACATCCCTGCATGAGGATGAGCAAAGGCAAACTTTTAAGCCAAGTAAGCTTCATATTCTCCCCAAACACACTCGTGTGTGCACTTCACAGTTGTCTTTCTTTGGTACCATTTGTGCCCTCTTAGACCTAGAACATGATGAGCCCTCAGGAAGCCCAGTATTAGAAAACATGCATAGAAATTTCTTCTATGTGGAATACTCATTTTGGGGGTTTGTGTTTGGTTTGGTTGGTGAATCAGGGGAGAAGTGTTGCTCTGAGTGCTATGGAAATCAAAATTTGTAACAGGAATTAGACCCAACACAATTGTGGGAGGAAATGAGAAGTGAATTGTCAGAAGGAGGTGTGCAAATTGAGGTGTGCCAACCAGCTCCTCACCTGAGAAGCAAAACACACGTTCCATGTTGAAGTGGGCCTGGGGAGGTGGCGTTCTTGGAGCTCTGTGGGAAGCTGGTGCTGCCACGTGGTGACCACCAGGCGGCATTTACAGCCAGATGCCTAGTGGTGAGCCTGGGGCCACCCTAGGTCAATGCTCAAGGTCAACACTTGGGAAGAAGAGATGAAAGTGGACAAGAGGAGAATGAGGACAGGCACCTCTGGGTCTGTTAGTTGCCATATTTGACTATGATGACCTTCAGAGAAAAATGGCCGTTGCTTCACTTTTGTCTTCCAAATCTCACACAAGTAATTCTGTGAGCCAATTCCAATGTACAACCACCCAGGGAAGGGAACTCTGGGAAAGGGAGTTCTGACCTAACTCAGATTATGATACAAATCACAACAGTTAATTTTGAAACCTAATTTGAATGATTGCATGCATGTGTGAGTCTTTACAGAGGCCCTCCATCTAGCTATATAAAAGGCTAATATGCTAAGTGTCCTTCCTTCTGTCCGGATAATGATGTCACATAGCAATGCCTGGCTTCCTCTCCCCAGTGACTAGCCTTCTCTGCAGCCAGGAACACTACTTTCTTTATAGTCGGGTGGAAACACTTTACACTGTAACCAGATGTCTGTGAAGCATTTTCCCATGCCTCATCTCATTTGGTCCTCACAGAAGTCCTGGAATAGGTAGATAGGAGACTCGGTGGAATCCTATTTTCTTCTTGTTAGCTGGAAAATGGAGATTTAGAAAGCTTAGAAACTTGACCTGACTGAAAAGAAGTAAGAAATGGTGGACCTTGAAAATGACTTCAGGTTTTCTCACTGTGCAGAATATAGTCAAACACTGAATGACTTCATTTCTCACTGTGCAGAATATAGTCAAACACTGCTGCAGTTAAATATTTTATCCTTTGTTCTCCCTGCATGATCTACAATAATAATGTGCTTTGTGTTGATATTAACTGCTGTGTTGCTGTCAATTACCTGAAAGAGAGGTTGGGGTGCTTCACTGGGCTGGAAAAAAGTTTAGCTAAATCAGAAAGCAGGTCTAATTAAGCAAGTTTATTCTATATCGATAAAAGACTAAGTTGACTCGGAAATGTGCGTGATACATATAAAGCTCTCACTGGCGCCATTTGCATGCATGTGTTTCCATCTGTCATTGTTGATCATGAATTTGGTTGACACTTATAAAGGGCGAATAGCGATATTAAAATATTTCTTCTAATTAATTTCCTTTCAATGTGCACGAATTCATGCACCAGGCCACTAGTCTAAATATATATGGCTAGGGATCCATAGAGTTCAGATCCACAGATTAATTTTGACTTTGAGAGTCACTGATGATGCCACATTGGAGACTAAAAGCTTCACCAGACCACTGCTGCCATCCAGGACGCCTCCTGTCCTTCATCTCCCCTCTGCCAAGTGTTACAACAGCTCTACAAATTAAAATCCAGTGGGAAAACAGTGTACAGGCCACATTGTCTTAAATGGAAACTATGCTTTAAGTGTTTAGAACAGCCGTGGGCAAACTAAATGAAATGAATAAAACTAAAAAAAAAAAAAAGACCCTACCTGCAGGATGGTCTTAGGCGACCCCTGTGAAAGGGTCGTTTGACCGCCAAAGGGGTCGCGACCCATAGGTTGAGAATCGCTGTCTTAAATGGAAACTATGCTTTAAAGGTTTAGAATAACTTAGAATAATCTTGGACTGGGAGGGAGAGCTGCAAGCAACTTCCTACTTCATACTAGACATCCATATCCCTCCTCATTTGATAGAAGAAAAAGTAAGTGAGGTGAAAAGAGGCTTAAGGTTGCCTAATGGTTGGTTACAGGATCCGAGTAGATCCCCAGCCTCCTGCCAGCTTCATCGTTGCTTAGAATAATCTTGAACTAGGAGAGCTGCGAGCAACTTCCTACTTCATACTAGCCATCCACATCCCTCCTCATTTGATAGAAGAAAAAGTAAGTGAGGTGAAAAGAGGCTTAAGGTTGCCTAATGGTTGGTTACAGGATCCGAGTACTCCCTTCCTCTCTCTCTCGCTTCATCGTTGACACCACCCAGTTTGAACTGCAGAGTTTTAAGAATCATTTCTGATGCCATCAAGATTTAAAGCAAGGAAAGGTCTGTGTAATTTTTACGGGGTGACCTATATAGTAAGGAGCCAAAGTCAAGTTTCCTCCTGAAATGTGGGATCTCCAGGGGCCTTACTTTATCATGAGTGAAACCCAGGGGTTCTTCAGCCCAGCCCTACGTGTGCTCAGAGGCAGGGAATCCTCCGGTAACAGGGTCTGAATCGATGGGTCCAGCGTTTGTTCTTCACAATGTTTGTTCTTTTGTTTTTTACCTTTAGACTTTTGAAAACCCTTGCATTGTAATGCTTTTTAGAAAAAAAAAAATCAACCCAGAATTGCCTTAGTTTATATAAAAGGGAAAGCTTCTATTATGTAAAGTTTGTTTGTTTTTGCTGCAATCTTTAGAAATGATCAGAATGACTAGGGAAATGTAAGAGTTAGGATATGGAGCAGCCACAAACAGTCATCATCTGAACCATTTGAAATTATAACAAAAGATTAATGTTTTAGGCTTCATAGATATCTGCCTTCATTTGGGTTGTACCCTTATAAGCACAGTGTCTGAGGGTACACTACTGTGTGTGTTTATTTTAAAATTTTGTACATGACTGCATTTTATTAT